CGCGGGCCATGAAAGAGAGTCCTATACCCTTTAAAAGCATGTTTTCATTGATTTTAGAGAGGAAGGGAGAAGGAGAGAGAGAAACATCCATGGGCTGTCTCCTGCACATCCCCTCCTGGAGATGGGGCTGTAAATCATGAATCCAACAATGACCTCTTGGTGCATAGAATAAAGCTCAACCAACTGAACCACATCAGCCAGAGATCTTTCTTCCTCTGAATCAGTACATTTTGCAGGATTCAGGGGACAAAGTATCTACCCAAACATCCCAGTAATCTTCACAAGCTGCCAAGCTCTTGCTTAAAGGTTTATGGCAGATAAACAACTAGGATTAGCTTATCTTCTCAGTAAACTCTCCCACCACACAGCACGGCAGCCTCTTACTCACAGACTCTGAAGGTGGGCGGTCTGTTGCCCTGCCAGTTCAGCTTCACTCATTCCTGCCTCAGCTCCAGCTCAGCTCCTGGCACCTGAGGAGAGTCACCGCAGCACCAGTGTGCTTTCCTCCCAATATCTCACTAAAGAAAGAGAAGGGACACAAGCCAAATGACTAATTAGGAAAGTGAATATAGGAAGTTACTGGAGCATGGGGCAGGGGGTAAGGGACAGACATTCCTACTGGGAGATTGGTTGATCTTTGGGAAAGTCCCAGCTGCCAAAGGAAAGGTGGAAACTCCAAGAGGTGAGAGATGGCTGAGTCCCTAACTGGAATTCATTTGTTCCTCTCAGAGGGAGGCTGAAAAAGAAAGTGCCAGATTGGAAGGGCAACTTCCAGAAGGGGAACTAGGAATGGCTCACCATCCAAAGCTTCAGGAGGAATATTCTGTGGTATGTAGATGAGAAGTGGAGGTTCGCTATTTGTTCTCCCCAGAACAATCACAACCAACTGCACAAGCTCGCTGACAGTTATTTGCTCCAAGCCCCGCCCCCTGGTCTGCACTCATTGGCTTTGAGTTTATAACCCCAGATTTGATTGGATGATGAAATACAGTCCTCAAAGGTGTTAGCGTTATTCTCTATGTACACTTAATGCAACCTTTGAATATTTAAAGTATGTTGCTATATTTCTTAAATAATCAACGGTGAAAATGAGTCTCCAGAAGTTTTTTTGCTGTGTTGATTTAAAGCTTTGGTATAGTGAATTTCTAACAAAAAGTTCATGGACACAGT